TTTAAAAACGTTAATGGCATTATATTTTTCTTTTTTATCATATTAGTAGTTATACGATCTGAAGTAAAAATATCACTGACAAGAGCTGATTATATTTTTTTATTTCTTGGACCAATAATACTGTAAAGTACATATTTTTAACCCACGTGATTGTATTTTTTCTCATAAATAATGGGTAAAATGAAAAAAAAACATGCATGTAATCCAACATTAGTGAATAAATCTGTAAATTATATTATAAATGCCTGTTAGAAATCCATCATTTTGGTTGTACATTTGGTCTGAGTATATTAATGTAATGCATTACTTTAGTTTAGAATAATATTTTCATTTTATTTCCCATTCAAATAAGACATAATAATATAAAGTGTGATTATTATACTTCTCATCATAACTTTTATAATGAACGTTCAGGTTTTGAATTAATATTTACACTGTAATATTTTTTCTATGGATATTTTGATGTAAGAATAAGTTTTGTATCAATAAAAACAAGAATTATATTATACAATTATTTTGTAAGTATTAAATAACAATTAATAATATATTATTATTCATGTTATCCATTTACTTCTTACATTTGAATAAATGTTCAAAGTTTTGGCCATAGAAATATTTTTAGTAGGTAGTTTATTACATCTTGCTAGAAATTTATATTTTCAATCTGGTCATGATTCCAAGTGAAATTTGAAACTTATAAATAAAGCAATCTATAAAAGTACTAAAAAACATATGACATCAATGAAATCATATTTAAGAATGTTTCTATTATTAAGGATAAAGCTAATATTGCTGACGAATTTAAACAAATTTTTTGCTGAGGTAGGTTCAAATATATCTGATCATATATAAACAAAATTTATGATACTAAATTTTAACAATTCTAACCTTGGTGGCCAAATTTCTGGTTCTATTTTATGGACCCTTATTTATTTTTTTTATTTCTGTAAGTGAATTAATAAATCTTATTAAAGATATTTATTTACTAAATTTACGGAATTTGCCCTTTGAGAGGAAAATAAATTAAATATAAATAGACTTTGAATTAACTTACAATTGTTACATATAAAATTCATTACAAATTATGGATATATATTTTGAATTTGGGGAAAATTATTAAAAAAGGTAGGAAGTGCCAACATTAGCAAGAGAGATTAATTTGCTGATTGGTTCATTCACTAAATAATTAGAGGTACAAGGAGGAAAGTAAAAATAAGTAGTATTTCTTAAATTTCACCATGATACTCTGAAATTAATTAGACCTAAAAGATAAGGAGAATCTATTTTTCCTGATAATAATCCATTTAAAAATTTGGACCCAAGAGTATATCTTTGTCTATTAAGGCTATTAATATTAAGAAATTTGGAAACAGGGGTGTAATCGTATGGCAGGTATAAACGGGTTGTGTCAGTGTGTGAGAAGTAGTTGAACAATAGTGTGAATGCAGTTCAAAGCGTATATCATCACCTTCTACATCCCTATAGCACGTAATCAATGGTAATAGGTACCCTCCCGTATTGCATTGTTATTGCATTATTTTCGGGTTTATCTAATTTGATGACAATATTAATATGTTGTTTATTTCTGCATTCTACAGTTATTATACTGTCCACAGTATCTACAATTTTCTCGCGAAGGTCATTTTTTATTATTTTATATTTTTGAGGATTATATTTTCTATCATAAAAAGCTTATGATTTTACAAAAATGTTTATATATTTTATTATCTGTGCCCAACTTTTTTACCCTAAGACTTGCTCAGATTTTTGTGTAGCACCTTTTCTGAAAGGAAATTTGACTGGGAAGTTACATTACTTACAACGTCATTTTTCGATTTTCCCTAGAGTTTTTCAGCAAATGTGAAAAAACGGGATTTAACATAGGAAACGGGGAAAAATATAAGAAAACTGGGAAAATCGCTACATTACACAAATATTATTATAGAAAATATATAAAGCCTATTTAATTATTTTACTGTAAAATGACATATATATTGTTGAAAAACCATCCTTATCAAATAAACTCAGCTCAGAATCGTTTTTCCGTAGGTCATGGTTTATCTTTACTTACAGGTGTGGTACGGTTGGTGAACAAGTAAATAGTTTTTTGATTTTCTTTATAGTTTTCTTAATAATTGAGCAAAACCGACAAAAAACGCAGAAAGTACGGACAAATTTGTGTTTTTTTTTTTTTACATAAATATTTTATAATTTAATTTGAGAACAATTTGTGTTTCTTTAAAAATTAATTTAGACTCTTTCTGAAATAATTTTACAAAATTATTATAGTGTTTAATACTAGTAAATAATTTTACTTTATTTAAGTGTAATATATAAATGATTTAGATTTTATTAACTTTTCTCTCTAAGTTATGTTATATGTTTAACTTTTAACAATTTGTTCAAGTAACTATATTTTATTTTTTCTTTAGCCTTTGGCTATAGTGGGTAGGTCAATACTTTTGTTTTGTTTTTAATCATTGTAGTTTATTGTTTTTGATGAAAATTATTATTGTTTACAGTTAAGCACTTATTCATTTGGTTTAAAACTTCATAGTGCGTATATTATAATTTATTTAATATAAATTTTATTTTTATTACGTTGGTACTAGGCACTATTTGAATGTTTAAATTATTTTTTTTTTAATTAGTGAATCCATCGGCAATAAAAGTTTGTTTTAAATATGTTTTGATAATTTTTGGATTAAAATAGGAAAATTGTAAAAACGGATATTACATTGCATTACCTACTTTTTACATTTAAATTAGGTATAAATCTAGTTTACGACCCAAGCTTATTTTTCAAATGGTTTTTTTTTCAAAATCTGCGTTTTTAACTTTACATTAAGAATCTAAAAAAAAGTCTAATGAACTTCGTTGGGGAAAACTTCATGAAGTTCAGGTTTTCCGTTTCATGTATTTCTCAATGAGAATTAAACATTTTTAAATTTTTTTTTTCCAATATGTGTGGTTTTTAATGCTTAATTTCTGGTATAGTTATTGTACATAAACCTTAAAATAGCATTTTTGGAATTAATTAAAAATTTGGTCGTTTTTATTATTATGATTTGTAGTTATTGATATTTTAATAACAAAGTCTTTTTATTAAAGTTAGGATAAGTCTATCTGGCTTAGATTTAAGAACAAACGTTCAAACCCTAGTGACCCAACTTTTCGTTCAAATTTTGATTAAAATACGATTAAAAATCGTCTGTTTTAAAATTTGCGTTATAATCCGTTTGAAAAACCAAAATTGATGTCACCACAAAATACTTAATCCTTAAATTCTGTAAAAAATTTAAGTATTCGAAAATATGGGCTTTAACTACACTTAAAAAATCTAAAAATCAGAATTTGAATTTATGCAATTTAATAAAAATAAAAAAGGGGTGAACATGCTTAGTGAATCACTCTGTGTATAAAACAAAAATAGAAAAAAAAATATTATTACGCGTGTACCGTATGATAATCGGCGTTCCTTTAATGCCTTTATATGCGTATTTGCTGACAATTTATATTTATATAAAACTAATAACTCGATTGTTAAACTATATATATGTATAAATTATATAGCTACCAATTATAAGTACTTATATAAAAATGAATCGATAATTTGTTGGCTACTTTGGTGATATGAATGAATTTTTAAAAAAAGTGTTCAGGTTTTCAGATAATAACACCATCTAAATTTATAACTTCTGTGAAATTTTCAAAAATTTTCTAAAATCTTGTTCTGACAATTACGAATACAACATAATCAAAAAAATCAGTCAAATTATTAGACACTCATTATCTCAGAAAGTGTTAACTTTTTTAGAAATTTGTTTTAAAGAACATTTAAGAAACAAGCTGTTCTAAAAATTAACATTTACATTATTTTTCGTCACCCTAATTTTTGAGGATGAAACGACTACGTCCTTTTGATTTTAAAATGACAACCTATATTAAAAATACCATAAATAGATGGAGTTGTAGTTAAAATAAATTTTAGTACATACATTTTTAATTTCTGCCAATCCGTTGACGAGATATTCCACTTTTAATTTTGGGTTGGAGGAGAGTAGTGTTGCATTATAACACGCTGCGCGGCGTACCACCACACAAATGATACTCCACTACTCTCCTCGAACGCAAATTTAAAAGTAGAATATCTTGTCAACAGATTGATGGAAATTAATAAGTTAAACTTCAAAATGTATTTTCACTACTATTGCATCTATTTATGGAATTTTTAATATTGGTTGCCATTTGAAAATCAAAGTACTTTCACCCCCGAAAATTAGGGTGACAAAAAAATAACATAAACTTAAAATTGCAGAGTTGCTTTTTCCTAAAATTTTCTACTAGGCAAATGTCGAAAAAAGTTAATACTTTCCGAAATAATGAGTGTCTTATGTTAGATTGATCACTCTGTATAGTATTATATATATACCTATCTGTATTATAATTTATAAATATTTAAAATATAATTTGTATTTATAGTTCATACTCACTGTTAACTGTTATTTTTTTTTGGATACTTGGATTTTTATTTATTTATTTTTTATCAGATGGACACTGCATTTTAGGACAACTTACACGGACTATCTTATTATTTCTTTTGTGTGTTTTTAATTTCATCCGTATCACCAAGGTAACTCACAATTTGATCGCTGTACTAAAAATACCAATAACCTTGTGTCAGCCACCCTTGGAACGCCACCTAGTAGATCCGATTATGAATTAACACCATACAGAGACCCATTCAAACACACACAAAAAAATGTCATCATCAAAATTAGTCCAACCGTTTAGGAGTTTATTGACATAGGTACACACGGACAGAAGAAATATATATATAAAGAAGATATACTCATAATTATTTCGTTAAAACAAATTATTATATCTTATTATTCTTATTATATCTTACAAATCTTATTATAATATTGATAAAAGTAATAATGAAAACTACAAATGTAGGTAATAGGTGAACAAAAAAGGATTTTTCAAAACATATACAATCATATTAAATTAACGTAACGACTCGCGTCGATGCGATTTTTGATGTCATTGCAATGTAATACTTTCTTATCTTCCATATTGTAAACTTTGATCACGTCTTGGAAACTGTTCAATAATTTAAGTATAACCGCCGGTTGAACACGTTCTAAAAACGCGATTTCTTCAATATGATATTGGCCACACAAATAATTTCTTTGAAGGAACTCCATGAGCAGGCTCAAATCCTCTGGATCCTGCATTATTGTTGAATGTGTAAATTGTTCAAAAATGTTTCGTTCTTTCCTTTGAAACGGGAAAGCCGTTGAGGTTGAATCGTAATATCCGTTGGACAAATACAACTGATGCATCGTGTTTGGTTGGAAACCGGAATCGGCCTCCTCCTATACAAATATTATATTTCAATTATTATTATTATTATTATCTATATTAATTTAGAGTGTTAATATTACTGCAGCACTTACAATCTCATTGACAACTGATACGTGATTGAGATATATGTGGAATTGCGTCAGAATTCTGTGGCGTAATAGCCAAATTATCATTTCGGTGATCACCACCCCGGTGGTAATGTATTTGTCCACGCATTTCATCATGTGTCTTAAAGACGCCGGAGTGCAAAATAAATGCATCACCTAATTAAAATAACAAAACGCGTGTATAAATATGATGGCCAATAATAATATTACACAGTGTTTAATATCACAATATTATAAAAATGACTAAAATAATTACATTCAACAAATTGTGACCGGGAAACGCGTTACTGAACCGATTGGTCAACGTATCAGCATTCTCGACTGGAAATGTCGGTGATAGGGCGTAAAAATTTGTTTCAGCCAACGGGAACATTACAATAGCGTAACCCCAATAAATCAAATATTTAACTACTTTAAACGCCTGTAAACAATGTATAGTATCATTAGTATAGGTATATTATGATTAATGTTTAGCACAGATTTTGATTTTATTTATAAATTATGTTTTTTTTTCTTTCATTTCTAACCTCATTTAAAGTAAGATTTGAATGGGCAGATATTGTTTGCAGATTTTTGGTCGGATTATACGCGTTGATTAATTGAACGACCGACGAATTGGCCCCGTGTCCTTTCTGCTGTAATTTGTCCAACAAGTTTTTCCGTTCGTCCATCAACAGCAAACCGTGGCAAGGTTTAAGTTCGCAATCATAGCTATGAAATAAAAACAATATATTATACAAGCATTGATCATTGGTGTATAATCATTACAGTGGCGTGCCGAAATTATTTTTTTTGAGTCAACTGTCTCATGGCTGAAATGGGTGAGTAAGTCACTAAATATGTTGAATATTGATTAAGATTAACTATTTTAGAGATCAGAGATGCCTTTTTAGTTTTTTGTATTATATTATTAATATAACACGATACACGAATATGATAGTCTATATTTTGTAGTTACTGTAGTCAAATAAAGTTTTTGCTGCAAAGAAGGTAGGTATTTATAGATATATAATATTAAATATTGATATTTTTAATATAAAATTATTATACAAAAAATCTATATTTTGGTTGGGTGATTGGATCCTATTTTATTTTTTTTTGCCTTAAGTATAAAAATGTTCAGCACGTCACTGATAATCAAAATCATATCGGATAAAAATGATATTAGTCCTCACTTGGCTATCATATTTTCAAGATTACTCATGTTAGACATGCTGCATACAAAATAATGAAACGATATAATGTATTTGTATTATACAGGTAGCACCACAGAATCTGAAAGCAATAATTTCATCGAATACATGAAAACGATACAATTATTTCATAAATCGTATTTTTCGTGTATATTTTTATTACATCGATTAGGTATACAATGATTTCTTACTGCATATTTAAATGCATTTTTGAAATTTTCATTTCGTAATATCAACTAATTTGACGACCTTTTTTTTGAGTTTAATTTTCCATAATTGTATTTACATAGTTTTGATTCAATAACATAAGGGAGGGAGAGTCCAGATCCTTGAACATTCTCTCTCATACCTCCCTTCCTTGTTACAACCTTAGATCCACCAGTGACGTATTTGAGGGGGGGGACGATGGGTGGATCGCCTCTCCTTGGAATTTTTTGGCTGTGTTTTTTCAATCACGGCTATAGGTTATAAGCAATAAAAGACAAAAAAAATGATCTATATATAATATCGTTGCCTTTTTGTCAAAACTCGGTAACGGTAAAATAGTAATCGTTCAGAAAACGACTTTAAAGTTTTCAAAAATTTAATTTTTGGTCTAAACTTTACAGAATCTTTAATTTTTAAAATATTTACGTAATTTTTTTAATGAAATCTGCTTGTATTACTGTATTAAATCTATTGGATTTTTATTAAAATGTTTAATGTTACACAGTTTTTTCTATCAGTAATTATTGTATGTAAATACATTAGCCATTAATTAGTTTTATCAAACAGAAAAATGATTATTACTATTTGTTTTGACTAGAAAAAATCTATATTGATTTAATATTAATCAATATTTAAATATTAATACTATTAATAAAAATTACTATCCTAATAATATTTTTTATTTCCTTTTTGTAATGTTTTAATAGTTTTTATGTTGGTCAATTTCATTTAATTTTAAACATAATTAATTTAATTTGTTGGTTTTTTGGTTAGTTTATGAGATAATTTTTTTTAAACGTATGCCTAATTAATATTAATTAGATTTTATTATTTTACCCCTCTCTTTTATTTTAGTTTTACAAAATTAAATCACAACCACAGCAACCGTTGTCTCTTTTGGACGTAGTTTCAAATTTAATTTTGAACAGTATTCAATACCTAATTGATCATCCTACTTCTTCAAGTATATTTTTCAAAATATTGCCCTTAATCAAATTATCTGTGTGCATTTTATGGATAAAATCGAAAATAATGTTGTTATACTTTCTACGGGTGCAATCAAAGCTTCGTCCTCTGTTGAGGAAAACGATAATTGTAATTTTTTGACATGTTAACGCGGGGTGTCTTGACGCAACACTGGTCTGGACCTAGCGTCAAACGAGAGCAGGGAAACCGGTCATACACAAAATACATAATCTAAAGTCTGGGCGTCAGACGCCGCGTTTAGACGCTGCAGGGAAACCGTACCTTAAGGAAAGATAATTTAAAATTATTAAATGTACGGTTTCCCTGCAGCGTCTAAACGCGGCGTCTGACGCTCAGACTTTAGATTATGTATTTTGTGTATGACTGGTTTCCCTGCTGGCGTTTGACGCGGTGTCCGGCGTCAGTATCGAGGTTCAGACCAGTGTTACGTCAACAAATCAAAAGATTACAAATTTTCGTAGAAAGTATAACAAAGTTGTTCTCAATAATACCCAAAAAATGCACAAAGATAATTTTTTTTAAGGACAATATTTTGAAAAATATATTTGAAGAAGTAGTAAGATCAAGTATGTATTGAATACTGTTAAAAGTTAAATTTGAAACTACACTCAAACCGGACAACGGTTGCAGTGGTTGTAATTTAATTTTGTAAAATTTAACTAAAAGAGATGGGTAAGATAATAAAATCTACAGCGTCTAACAGAGAAAACAAGGTAAACGCTACGTCCAGACGCTGCAGAAAACCGGTAACTTAAAACCAATTAAATTATATTCAGTTTCTTAAATATTAAATTTTTAATTTATTATTATTAAGTAGATACAAATTAATAAGAGGGTTGGCACTGCTTAGTTCCAATTAATTTTTTAATGTTTGTTGATAACTGTGATAATGCGCATTTCAGGTCATATTACACGTCTAGGTTACAATCTTATTTTGGATTTAGACATCCTTAATTATAATGCTAAATAAAATTACTTCACCACCAATAATAATATTTAAAAAGGCCTACTAAATAAAAAATACGCAAAAAACTTTCAAAATTAAAATGCTTAAAAATAGCTTAATAAGGGTTCAACATTTTTACAGAAATTTCAAGTCTCAACGAATATTTTTAACTGAATTACATTAAAAAATAAAATTTAAAATAATAAAAGAAATAATTTTCATACGTTTCCTGTTTTTTCTACGTAGGTATTTGTCGGTTTTGCTTAATTGTTAAAAAAAAAAACTACAAAGAAATTTAAAAAAACTATTATTTTACTCTCAAATTAAATTAAAAATTCAACTGGAAAGGTCTATTGTTTTTTTTCTATTTGAGCAATATTTCCAGTAAAACGGAAAGCTTAAAAATTTAATGTAATGTAATCATAACGCCATAATCCGAAAGGAATTTTAGTCAGCTACTATGTGTTAAAAGGAACAAAATTGATCTCTTGTCGTTTTACGATTGGTGTAATATTTCTGATAGAAAACATAAGTATGAACATATTAAAATAATGAAACCATGACGCTACGTTGCCGTAAATATTAATCAATTTTAATTTTTTGATTATTCCCGATTACGAAAACTGCTTTAGATATCGAAAAACTATATACTCTGTCAGTAGCGAAATATTAAAATAAACAAAATCGTTTTTTTTTTTTTGTTATTTTTGGATTAGAGCAGTATTTCTGGGATAAAACATCGTGTAAACATATTTAAAACAATAAAAACGGCTACGCTCCGAACATAAAAATTACATCTCGCAGTAAAGCCAATAGATCCCTTGCTACGATCCTAATCTAAAATCGATAAATCGATCCATATAATATAATACGACACATGATACAAATTACATTTATCACTTGTATAACCCGTTAATAATTCCTATCGGTTATTACATATATAATTAACATATAATAATAATAATAATAAAAGTAATAATATTAATAATATATAATTATAGTAATAATATTAATTATCATATTTAATTCATTGTAACATTTGTACAGGCAAGTATTACTGTAAAACATTATTTATGAGTTTCTTTATTAGATACTATTAAAGATATTTTTCCAAAAATTTTTTAATTGATCGTATAATTATTATAATTTTTAAAATAATTGATTTATTATTATCAGTATCTCTAACTCGTCATTAAAATAATAAAAAAAAAAATTCGAAATTGACTAAGTGACACGAAATTGCTAAATACGTGTATTTTTAGTATTTAAATGAATAACAATATTATTCAAATACATATGCAACCAATAATCAAAAATAATAATAATAACAATAATAAAAATAGTAATAATATTACTTGAATAAACCGTTTAAGGGCTGCAGTAAACGAAATAAACGCAAAATATACCTACCTGTGGACGTAGGTATGTTGCGAAGCGTGGCCGTACGAAAACTGAAAGTTATTGTTGAGTTTCGCATTCGCAGTCGGCCGTCAACTGTTATACTGTGGTTCGGGGGTCGAAAGGAGTCGGGGTGCGCCGGGACAGAGATACCGTTACCACGACGACGGAATGACAAAAATATCAAATAGGTATGGTAGCAATGCTTACTGCACTGTAGTGATATATCTATTATATCGGGGTAAATAGTGGGAGAGTGTTTCGCCGTTTCCTATTGGCCGGTCGCGGTTATGTGATAGCAATAAAACCGTTGGGAAAACTATCGCGATCGTAAACCCAATATAATATTTAATTGCCTGTAACAATTCAGCATCGACGAATTTTGTGGGACGAAGATGAGAAAATGCCGACGGCCTTTTCATTTCACCTTGTAACCGTATACAGGATATCCCACGAAGATACTCATTGTATTATCTCCGGAGATAATTTAAGATAATCATTTTTTTTTTTTGTTATATATTACTCATAAGGACAAGGACTTCAAATATTTATATTTCACTTAATATTTTATGTTCTGGTAAAACTACTAAAAAAATGACTTTATTTTGTTATTTTCAAAAAATTATTTTATTATTCTAAGCCATTTTATAGTTATAAATTCTTTTGAAAATTTTGACATTTAAACTTTATTTTCATAAGAAACGTGAATTTTAATAATTTTATAAAGTTCAGAGAAAATTATCTATAATTATGCAACAGACCGTATAGACCCATTCGTTTATTGATTATTATTATTTTGATTAATTTCAGCCTATACTTTTTTCTCAGAAAATAAAAATATTATTAAAAATCACGAATTTAACGAAAATATTTATATATTTATTTACTTTATTTATTTACGAGTATTAACCATTTTAATAATTTTGTTTTTAATTTATTATTATATTATGAATTTAAAAAGATTATACATCAACATTCTTAGAAAAATAAATTCTATAAATTTACTATTATTTAATATAATAATGTTATTAACGTTAATAAAATATAAATATGTATAGTTCTTATTCTTGTGAATAATATAAAAAAAAAAAAGAATATAATTATATTTATTGTCTTCGGAGTTGTTGAAATGGGTACTTACATCTTCATGGGACACCCTCTATATCCGGTTTGTATCATTTATTTTAAACAAAAAAAGTCGAGCAATTTGTTTTATAATTTTGAATACATTGTCGTTAATATCGAAATATAAATATGCAAGATTATGACATTATAATTATTAAACTATATAGCTGGCAGAGGATTAAACTATACAGGCGCAGAGACAATATAATATAATAATTATACGTATAGATAAAAAATTTCTAAAACGTTTTTCTATACAATTAATAGAATAAAATATAATAATACAAACACATTTTCGCTTAGTACTATATTGTTATGAATGGGTTTGAATTCAAATTAATTATCCTATATTATACG